AGCATTAGTTATAAAGAAAGGATGAAAGACAAGTAGATAGAAGCAAAAGGATACAAGAGAACAATCAAAAGCAAACAACACACGCTACTACATACATGTCACATATAGCACGTCACAATCACATGACAGAAAGGAGGGGTCCATGATCACAACATGTGACACACACACCATATCCAACACAGACGAGTGTGTGCAGTTCTCAGTGCACCGTGTACCTGATGATGTTTAGAGTACCTCTGACATATCATTGGCTTATAATAAAGTTGTTTTTATAACACATTAGAAATCATTTCACAGTCGACCTGGTGAATTTGAGGTAGTGTTCAGTAAATGCTCACAACCACTTATAATTGTCTCATCTCCACACACTCTACCAGTCTCTACCTGGACCGTTAGTAGGAAATACCTTCACAGGTGTGTCCGTCGTCCTTCAGGTGGTAACCTTGGCGACAGTAGCACTGATACGATCCGTAGATGTTGGCGCACTCCTGGCTGCACGGTTTCTTGTCACATTCGTTTATATCTAAGCACAGGAAATAAAAGACACAATTATAAAATCCTTATTTTCTGGGGCTGTGCATTGTGGAACGACCACTTCGGCCATTTTGAAGGTGAAGGAAAACTGTTTTTAGTGATGACACAGACTTAAAGAGGACACCATTTAACCTCATATTGTCTTCGTTTCCCCCCCCCTTACTTTGGTGTTCGCGGTCAAATCTGACCGGTCCTGTTTTAACTGCTATTACATTAACACAAAAACCATTAATCATCACCACATTTCATTTAACACCCTTTCAAACTGTACATATTGTATCAGACTACTGGTGTACATGAACAACTGCAGTAGATATACAAAGAATATACACTGAACATGTATTGCGTGCCAGGTGTGATCCATGTGGGGGGAGGGGCACATAAGGGGGGGAACACACCTAGAGTGTGTGTGTGTGTGTGTGTGTGTGTGTGTGTATGTGGGTGTGTGTGTGTGTGTGTGTGTGTGTGTGTGTGTGTGTGTGTGTGTGTGTGTGTGTGTGTGTGTGTGTGTGTGTGTGTGTGTGTGTGTGTGTGTGTGTGGGTGTGTGTGTGTGTGTGTTATCTGATCCAGATGGTTACTAATTCCTTTTCTTTATGGCGGTCATCAGACCGGGAACACCATGGTGTTACAAAGTTCACTAAATCATCCAAAATTCAATGAAAGTGGTGATCAGCCATTGTACATGTTCAAATGTCTCCTGTGAAGGATATCATAAAGCTTTAATGCAATCGAATGTAAAACAAAAAAGTTATGATTGATGAAAGTAGTAAATCGGTCAGATTTGATCCGAAGACAACAGGAGGGTTAATCAATATATATAATCTCTTATATCTTTATGTCAGAGAAAATTAAAGTCCGGCTAACCTTTACAGTTCTTGCCGTCCAAAGCCAGGGAGAAGCCCTCCGTGCAGGAGCAGTGGAACGAGCCGGGGGTGTTTTCACACGTCTGTCCACACAATCTGCCGGGGAAACGCCAGCACTCATTTATATCTGGAAGAGCAGGAGAGGCAAGGTGAGTTTACTTATAAAGCACCTTTCAACACAAGGCGATTCAAGGTGCTTTACAAAAGATGAGGGGGCTATTAGACCACAGACTGAAACCTCGGGGACGATAAACACTCCAGAGCTCATTCAGAAACACAACTAGTGATGTGTGGAGAGACTTTTTCACCTTCAAAACAAGCTAATGTTAGCGTGAGCATGTAAAGTTTGTGACGCAGGGACTCGTACCGGTGCAGAGTTTCCGCAGAGAGTCGTACTGATATCCCGTCTGACAGTCACAGGTGTAGCTGCCAGGAAGATTGTGACAAATCTGACCGAGTCCACAGCGGTATGTCCCCATCTGACACTCGTCAAGGTCTACACAGGAGAGAGAAGGTCATCAGGGTTTGGTACCTACTGTAAAGGTTTCATTTGTTCCGTTCATGGTGTCCACAAATTAATGTATAACAACAGCTTACAAAGCATGTCTCGATAAACACACCGTACCCGAAACGGAGCAGGGAGAAGAAGATAATCTGATATGACCCGCCGCTTTCTAGAAATAGATGGTCTGTCCTTCATGTTTTCTTATTCACAGCTAATCATAACAGTATCGTAGGAAAATAAGAGACACACAAAAACGTACAAAAATATACTTAGTTCCCACTTGACAGTTAACGGAAAGAAAAAACCAAAACATCACATGAACAAGGAAGAGTGCCACACCCTCAACGAGTCCTAAGGGGGAAGCGTGAATCTAATCTTCTACTTCCTGAATCTACTTCATGGTTTCAACTTTCTTTGCTTCATTTGTTCTGTTTCTAATTCAGCAGGTGAACCTATAAGTTCATAACATAGTGTGTGTGAGCTGAACTGTGTGTGTTCAACTAAAACAGAGCGTTTTCTGTCAGCTCAGATTTTATTTCTGCTTTCTTAAACTGTAGTATGAGCTCATGAGTTTCAGTGATGGTGTGTAGGCTGCTGCCTGGATGCGCTGAATGAAAGGCAGGTTTCACCGTTGAGAGGTTCATGTTGTTTATGTTTGCTTTCTCTCATTCCAGGCTTCTTGATTGTTTGCACCTGTCACCTGTGTCTCCTGTGCTCATCAGTGTCAGCCCCGCCCCTGATTGGTTCCACCTGTGTCTTGTCACCCTGTGCTTAAATTCCCCTGTCTCCCAGTGTTCCTCGTCAGTTCGTATTGTCTTATGCTATGGTCAGGTCGATGTTTCTTGTGCTCGTGAAAAGTTTCATTTATCTCGGCTAGAGATTGATAGTTACCCTTTTTGTTGTTCACTGCTGTATTGGAAAATAAAGTATCTTACAAATACTTTACCTCTGTCTCCCGGGTCGTGCAATTGGGTCCTACATCCTAAGTGGCTGAGTTCGTAACATTTACGGTCAATAAAATCATTTCTGATCCTAAATATCTTGGTTTGTTCTTTCCTAAGGTCACATCGTTCTGCTGTCTTACCTAATAAGTAAAACACATCTTATTGATCTTTATTTTCTCTAGTATTTATTTGCATTGCATTTAATATCGAGGTAATCCAAAAGATACTCAGATTAGGTTACCGACTACATTTCTTTACAGGTAACTATTGTAACGGAATATGTGTTTGGAGTATCCCTCACAACCCTCATCATATAACCAACACTCACGAGCTGATATTCAGGCTGTTTCTCCTCTGATATGGGATTTCTATAACTAAACATTTGAGAAGAAACTCTTCAGCCTCAATGCTCTCATCTCCATCTTTCTGACGTTGTGCTGCTGTGTTTCAGAGGAGCTTCTCACCGACACACGTGGTTCCATCAGAGCTGGCGCTGTACCCCGGGCTGCAGGAGATGGTCTTCTGCTGGCAGGAGAAGGATCCCACCGTGTTGATGCAGTTAAAACCAGAGCTGCACAACTCTCTGAGGCTGAGGCACTCATTGATGTCTAAAGAAACACACACAGAGAGAGACAGCTGAATAACTGATGTGTTTACCTACATAATACACTTACAAAAACATCTTATTGAGATGTATTAACACTCATTAATGTCTGCACGACCACAGAGAAGCACGACTAGAGACAGCTGAATAACAGATGTGTTTACTTACTGTCTTCCATAACACACTTAGGTAAAAAACACCTTATTGATATTTATTAACGCTCATTCATTTAATTTACCATTTGATGTTGAGGTCATCCAAAAGCAGAGGTGAGAGAAGTACTCAGATCTAGTACTTGAGTAAAAGTAGAAGTACTCAGATCTAGTACTTGAGTAAAAGTAGAAGTACTCAGATCTAGTACTTGAGTAAAAGTAGAAGTACTCAGATCTAGTACTTGAGTAAAAGTAGAAGTACTCAGATCTTGTACTTGAGTAAAAGTAGAAGTACTCAGATATTGTACTTGAGTAAAAGTAGAAGTACTCAGATCTAGTACTTGAGTAAAAGTAGAAGTACTCAGATCTAGTACTTGAGTAAAAGTAGAAGTACTCAGATCTTGTACTTAAGTACAAGTAGAAGCACTCAGATCTTGTACTTGAGTAAAAGTAGAAGTACTCAGATCTTGTACTTGAGTAAAAGTAGAAGTACTCAGATCTTGTACTTGAGTAAAAGTAGAAGCACTCAGATCTTGTACTTGAGTAAAAGTAGAATTACTCAGGTCTTGTACTTGAGTAAAAGTAGAAGTACTCAGATCTTGTACTTGAGTAAAAGTAGAAGTACTCAGATCTTGTTCTTGAGTAAAAGTAGAAGTACTCAGATCTTGTACTTGAGTAAAAGTAGAAGTACTCAGATCTTGTACTTGAGTAAAAGTAGAAGTACTCAGATCTTGTACTTGAGTAAAAGTAGAAGTACCAGAGTGTAGGAATACTCTGTTACAGTAAAAGTCCTGCATTCAAAATGTTCCTCAAGTAAAAGTAGAAAAGTATTATCATCAAAATATAGTGGAAGCAGCGACAGTGAAAGTATTCATTTTGCAGATTGGTCCGTTTCAGAATAATATATATGTTTTATAATGATTGATCATGAAAGTGTTCTCAAAGCTGGTAAAGGTGCAGCTAGTTTTTAATAAAAGTACAAGTATCTCAAAACTGTACTTAAGTAAATGTATTAGTTCCCACCTCTGTCCAAAAGTAACGGAAAGCAAATATCATTTTTTTATTTTATTTAAAAAAAACCTTCCCACTCTGGAAGTACTCATGGCCATACCTCCTGATATTACTACAGGAAAGAGGGATTCCATTTGTTAACTTTATACAACAGCTAAAGAGTAAAAAGGATGACCTGTGGTTCTATTGGGGCTTGGACTGATTCTCGTCACTGTGAGGTTACCATTCAAACAAAGACAGTTTCTTACCGATACAGTTTCCATGGGAGTCCTGTGAGAATCCGGTGATGCACTTTGGTTTGTGATTACAGAGGAAGGAGCCGAGTGTGTTCTCACACACGAAGCCAAGGCCACAGTTATGGGTTCCCAGAACACACTCGTTAATGTCTGAGAGTAAAAGAACAGAAAACAAACATTTCATTTTGACAAAAATAGTCAAACACACTTTTAGTCAAATGTAAAAAGTTAAGGACCCAATTTCTAATACCCACTTTCACTCCGTTGGCCCGTTTGTGAGGAGGGTCCAACAGATTAACAATGTGTTGGAGCGCTAGCCAATAGAAGCACAAGTGTTCAATAGTGATGTCACTATGTTCAGGAAGTAAACAAGGGAGTCCAGTCGAGGCATTTGCACACAAACCTATAGAACACACTACAGGGGAGGGAGAGCCCCCAAAAGAATAGAAAAATGCAATTTAGTAATTTCGTTTTTTATACTTTAAGGTCATATATTGTATGCCCGTGTCTAATCTAGATAACTGTAGACTTGGGCATTTGATTGTAAAATAAACATCACATAGGAAAAGAGATTTGCAATACAAATAAACGCCACTAGAACTTTCTGTAGTTTTATTACAATTAATAATTATTAGTGTTCATTTGTATGTTTTGTTGTTGTTTTGTGAGCACTATGGTGCAATTAGGGTATTCAATAATAATAATAATACATTACATTTTTATTAGAGCACTTTTCAAGGCACTCAAAGCGCCTTACAATTACGACACATTACACATATTAGACATGTAACAGTTATGATTTAGGTGACCTCAGGCTGTGCGAGCATCAGAGTTCCCGTTAGCCGGTAATTACCGGACTACGACCGGTAAAATATGCTGAAGACCGGCAAATCTAAATCTCTCCGGTCAAAGTGTCCGTTCAAAAATAATTTCCGTTTAGCGCAATACCGCATCAGTTACGCAATTTGCGCCACTGATGTGACAGACAAGAAGAGTATGTGACAGACAAGAATAGACAATTCTAATGTCTAACACGTAATGTGGAGAAAGAGATGTCCTGTATGGGTTGATTGTACGTTGATCTGTTGGTAATGCCTCGGGGTTCCGGTGGGCAACAAATGCACAATGCTGCGCTATACTTTGCGGCCTCACCCGGTTGCATAGCGACACTTATTGTGTAGGTGTCTTTTAATAAGCAGGTAGTCATATCATTAGCTAGAACTAGCTAGATCTGATCGATATGGACATAAACGCGAGTGAAGTCTAATCTGACGGGAGAGAGATCAGCTGCTGCTGACGAGTCGACACGCAGCTCTGCATGATCACATGCAGCGGTGAGCGGACAAAACACACATCAGGTTAGAATAGCACACGTAGCTATTTTAATGACCTCTCAAACTACCTAAACTAGTTATAGATATGTTTAGTTTTACTGTCGGGTCACTCATTACTGGATATGCGAGCTGCATGATACTGACTGCTCCGTTTATTATTCCCGTGTTATTGTAAATTACTGTTCACTTTTGAATAATGTAGTTAATCTACTATAATTAGTTCGTTTAATATCGAATCATATCAATTTGTTTTAAAGCACAATAAATAACAAAGAAGACCTTTGACCGGCACTTTTCTCATTTTGTCCGGAAGATTTCAACTTTAACGGACATGTTGACCGGCGAAAAAATATTCTAACGCGAACTCTGGCGAGCATACCGGTTTTTTTCAGCCAGAACACGCTGTTCTTGGGTTTTAAATACATGGTATTAATAGCAATAATGTCGTAATTGGAGATTGCAGGCATCTAACTAAAAGTCACATTTTCAATGCATGGTGATATTGAGTGACAATTGTCATCACAATTAGTTTTAGTCCAGGTGGAAAAGTTACGATCGTTTCTGTTTCAGCCGGACATGAGGGGATTAGATCCAAAAACTGGCTGCTGTATTTACACTTCCGACTTAAAGGTCTCCTAGTATACTGTTTTTTCATCAATATATTATAGCTCTCAGATATACAAAACATGTCTCTGAAGTGTTTGGCTCCTAACACCGAACAGATCATTGCAGCATTACCCATAATCCCCTCTGTTTCAGCCCTGTTTCCAAAGTGCTGATTCTCTGTCTGTTACTAGATGAAAATAAGGAGCCCCTCCCCACGCCCCTCTGAGAGAGATTTGGTTACAAAGAACACAATAGTGATGTAGAAGAGACATGAAGAAGAGGGGACACATGTTGATGTAGAAGAGACATGAAGAAGAGGGGACACATATTGATGTAGAAGAGACATGAAGAAGAGGGGACACATGTTGATGTAGAAGAGACATGGAGAAGAGGGGACACATGTTGATGTAGAAGAGACATGAAGAAGAGGGGACACATGTTGATGTAGAAGAGACATGAAGAAGAGGGGACACATGTTGATGTAGAAGAGACATGAAGAAGAGGGGACACATGTTGATGTAGAAGAGACATGAAGAAGAGGGGACACATGTTGATGTAGAAGAGACATGAAGAAGAGGGGACACATGTTGATGTAGAAGAGACATGAAGAAGAGGGGACACATGTTGATGTAGAAGAGACATGAAGAAGAGGGGACACATGTTGATGAAGAAGAGACATGAAGAAGAGGGGACACATGTTGATGTAGAAGAGACATGAAGAAGAGGGGACACATGTTGATGTAGAAGAGACATGAAGAAGAGGGGACACATGTTGATGTAGAAGAGACATGAAGAAGAGGGGACACATGTTGATGTAGAAGAGACATGGAGAAGTGGATTTTGCATAATAGGTGACCTTGAGTCTGATTCAGCTGAGAGTGAGACAACAGACAGATTTCACTCCATCCCAGAGTCTATGTACTGTAGGTGGTTGGTTTGAAACTGGGTCTAAATGTGCTGTCAACTCTCATTCAGTAAACCGTACAGTAGGTGGCACTGTGAGTCAAGCAAAGAATAAAGATGTACAGAATCACAAAAACATCACAGTCAAAACTTTAGAAAGAAATTCCCCACCTATACAAATGTGCATTTAACAGAAGTTGAACAAAACTTCCTTAATGACAGTTATTGAGTCTCACGTTCCCGGATGAGTCCTTAGCAGAAGGTGGGCTTTCCTCTACCAATCATCATTAGAGGGAGGTACTCCCAGCATCGCAGCAGTGATCTCTCCTTTCTTTCATGGAGCTAATTAGTTTTCTCCCTGTTGGATGGTCGGCTAAATATTTCCTCTATCTTAGCTACATGTACATTGATTAGCCCTCCTCTGTGCAAAGTGCTTTACCGCCCGCACAGAACCTTCTCTGTGGATGATTATCTTGTCAAAAACTGAATCTGGGCATCTGCTGAAGCACAAACAACACGGCAGCGGCCAAAATCATGAGAACACATCGCAATGACTGAGCAACAATCATGACTACAGTAGGAAGGAAGAAATGAAGAGAGTTTGTGTCTAATGCTGATGGCTTTCATCTAAATGAGGTGTCTATATAACCTGGTCCTGTTAAAGAGCAACTATCTGCCATCAATAATGCCAGGACTCTCCACTAGCCTCACCACCTGTAAGTAATGGGAACAGTGATGCATTGTGGGACATTGCGGCCATCTTTGTAGGATAGCGTCTCTAAAGAAACAGGAGCAGCCGTCAATATAAATCCGCTTTCCAGGTCGTCTGTCAGCGGTTTTGCGTCCAATATGCACTTACAAAGAGAAGCTCCGCGCAGAAACAGAGGAGTGTTATATAAACAAATAAAGTTGTTTAGTGACGTCCCTATTTCAAGTAAGAGAAGAATGGACCGATCGCTGTTACTGATGTCGGTCCTCTGGTGTTTTCAGATAGGGTCTACATTGGAATTTTACAAACGATGGATACAGGACCTTCAAATGTAAAGGACAATAATCCAGACTGAGTAATGTTATGCTAACTAAATGCTAACAACTACCGGTGTATTTATGTACTGTATACTGAGTAGGGGTGTAACGGTAGATGCAATCCCATGGGTTGTTTTGTACGTTGCTCAAAGAAGTGGATGTTACAGCCATGACATCAACAGTGTCTTCAGACCATGTTTAAAAGTTTAAATTGAAAAGGCTACGCTACTCGCTAAGTGGTGTCAAGTAACTAAGTGGATTTACTCAAGTACTGCACTTCAGTACCACTTTGAGATACTTACTTAACTTGATGACTCCATGTTATGCTACTGTGTACTTCTACTCCACTACAGTTCAGAGGTAAATGGTGTACTTTTCCTCCACTACATGTATTTAATACCTTTAGTTACTTCACAGATGTGGATGAATGATGTGAAATATAATCAAGTGTTGAATCAGACTTTAGTTCCACCTGGAGTAAATCCACCAGCTACCCTGCAGTATACAAAGTCATTCAAACTAGCTGCACCTTCACCAGCTTTGAGAACACTTTCATGATCAATCATTATAAAACACATCATATATATTATTCTGAAATGGACCAATCTGCACAACGACTACTTTTACTGTCGCTGCTTTCACTATATTTTGATGAGAATACTTTTCTACTTTCACTTGAGGAACATTTTGAATGCAGGACTTTTACTGTAACAGAGTATTCCTACACTCTGGTACTTCTACTTTCGCTCAAGTCCAAGATCTGAGTACTTCTACTTTCACTCAAGTACAAGATCTGAGTACTTCTACTTTTACTCAAGTACCAGATCTGAGTACTTCTACTTTTACTCAAGAACAAGACCTGAGTACTTCTACTTTTACTCAAGTACAAGATCTGAGTACTTCTACTTTTACTCAAGAACAAGATCTGAGTACTTTACCACCTCTACTCACTAGCCCTACAGGTGAAGTCAATAGATTGCGGTCCAAGTATCCTCTAAAGATGGACGCCCTGATGTTGATAAAACACATTTCCATTCCCTTTTCATGATACACTTGTTTCCATGGTTTTGTGAGTTTAAGGGTTCCTTTAAGGACAGATCCTTCTCTGTTTCTGGAGATACTATTAGAAAGAGCAATATCATTATGCATGGCCTCAGTTGGAGCCAGGGCTGTTGGACCTGATGTTGGATCCTCTCTAAATTACTGAGAACCTGGCAACACTAAATAACTCCAACACAAACACAGCCTTGTGCCAAGTTGTGTAATGAGGTGGAAACACAA